AAATCTCGGGCTCAACAGTGAGACTGCGGTCGAGATCGTACACCGGAGGGGTCACGTACGAACGGACCCCAGAGCCAGACGCCGTTCGGGTAGGTTATGACTGTTTTTAACTCAAATTTATAGTTGAGATTCAACACATTCGGAGATCTCAGATACATGAAGACCTATTATTAATGTTGCGTCTACTCAGTTTAGTTACACACCATATCAGCACGTCGGCACGATGTATGTGGCTATCACTGACTAATCGATTGGTGCTCTGTAGTGTACATGACATCAGAAAGACACTGTATTTCTGCGGTATGACGTGAGTAAGAAGTCCAGCGCGATCGCAAATAAAAAAGCAGCAACTGGGAATATGCTAGATTCATTTTTAATCGATTAACCCTTTCGTGGTCAAACGCGGCATTTTGCCGCGTTTGACATGATTTTCAAAAGAGGGTGGGAAAACGACACTTTAAACGCGGCATTTTGCCGCGTTCTACAAAATCCACACCTTGATTTGTTTTTACCAATCAGATCTTCGGATTACGGCTTCTGATAGATCCTTTCTGTGCCGACTGGCGAGACTGAGTTGTGAATATCGCGAGAGCGCGTATCTTTTTCGGCCAGCCTAGCGTCATATTTGCGGTTCGGCTGGTAGCCGCATGAAGCGCAAGGAGAAAACGTGTTGTAAACAAGGCTAGCAGATCCTAAAACCTATCATAAAAATTTGGTCGAGGCTTCAGCCCCAGAGCCACCAATCGTGCTGGTATCAACTATAGTATTCCTAGGTTAGATGCATGCCTTCTCTCTCAGTATTTTTTTGCTATGCGGACCAACTTCACCGACGCACAAGACAAACGAATTGTAGCGCTTGCACTCGAGTATGAATCCCAACACAAGCGAGTAGAGTGGAAGGAGGTGGCGCGGGCCATGAGGGGTAAACATTCTGTCCAAGCGCTTACGTGCTGGCAAGGAAGTCGGCGGCTTTTATAAAACAAACAAGTGTACGGCCATAGTAGATCGTCAGCACACCATTCTTGACCATGCAAACACACCTTCCATTCAGATTGGGCCAACCCAACGCGCCGACATGTAGCTTCACTCCAATGCACCATGAACAAGTTCCACTGAATCGAAACCTTCACAAATGTGTCGTTAGATAGCTTCGCAGCAACGCGTTGCAAGAACTGAGGAATATCATCTGGCGGGCGCGACTGAACTGAAAGCTTGCGCAACGATGTCAGGACGTGGTTGACACCATTTATTTGGTTTTGTAGTAATCCCGCGATTGTTCGATCAATCCGTGATTTTTTTCAAGAAGCCGTTTAAGCTGGATCCAATTGCTTTCAATCCTGTTCGTCGTCGTACTGCCCGCTGTAAAGTAATTCCCATGACCATGGTTCGACCACATATCGCTACACCACTCCGAGTTGTCTTGAAAGTACAAATAATCTTTGGGCACGGCTTACTACAAATATCGGGATACTTTCCCTTACAGAGTTTCTTGAATCCATCTCTTGCTCGCTCAAAAGGTTTCTGGTAGTACTATACATCATCTGCTTGATCGAGATCTCCACTTCATCTCGCTGAACGCCATTAAGCCCCTACTCTGCCCGCTTTATAACTTTTACCAGTTCGCCATGGTGTGAAACTGGCAGAGTAGCACTGTGGCTTGGGGAAACCATCTCTCTAGCACTTTCCACTCCTTGAAGTATTTGTATATCTTAAAGGTCTCGATGTTTCACCACGAATTGTTATGCGTCTTTAAACAATTCCAAAATAGTCTCCATTGTCTCCATCTTTTCGTTTAGAGCGATAAAGTCTAGTACAGGCACGCCACGTACGGTTGCACTAGTCACCAGTAGCACTAGTCACCAGTAGGCCACCTGCATTTACATAAAGATAATAGACAATTAGTAAGGGTGCTACAACAGAGATAAGGGCGCCCTAGAGATAAAAGTGCCCAGCGTAAAGGGTGCCGAACGAAAAAAATTGAAGGATTTTTGTATGATTTCACACAATTAATGAGTAATCTTACCGAGATGAAACCCCAAATTGTTCGTGCCGTAAGTCCAGTCCATGCATAGAGTGTCACCCCATTGCTCAAAAGCTACCTTTTGAGTGGCACTTTGCATCACAACGCCTTAGGTCACGTCGTTTTGATCGTGGGTCACAAGTACCTCATGATTCTTGAACTACGCGAGGGTATCAAGCATGCGCGTTAGCTGTTTATCAGCGGAAGTATTTTCAGTACCCTTTGCACGATATTACGCGCTTGCTGGGGTGTTACCTGACGGTCCAAGGCGCCGGATAAAAACTCTTGAATGAGACGCGAGTCTGTGTTTGCATCGGCAAGAGGACCCACTTGTTCGAGAACCAGGCTATCTTCTGGTATTGACCCGGCTCCAAAGTAACTCGCGTAAATCGTTGCGTTCGTGCGGTAATTATGTGTCCATATCTACAATCAGCGACATCATCTTGTTAATACTTCATAAAATCCTTCAATAATTGTACGGCCACGTACCCAGTTCCGTAAAACATTTTTTTCACCCTGCTTTTTTTATTGTGCGGCAACATTTCTTACTGCAGCTGGGAACCGGGCTTGACATCCAGTGTATAGACTTGGCGTACTGCGCCGACCTTTGCTGCGATACTTTTGCGATACTTTAGCGAGTACCCATGTGTGCAGCGGAACACCCTGTAGCTGTGGCCATACTCGTTGGTGTCTGCAAAGCGTTCAATCTGGTAAATCATATCAGCATTTTATCAGCATTCAATAATATGATGACACATTCTTTGAACTTACAAGTTGTGCGTTTTCACGGTCTGAGTATCTCGGGCTGGGATAAAAGGAAAACATCGCTGCTGTACCTCTCTAAAACGGGGTTAGCCTCATTCCACGACGAAAAAACAGCGTAGGTGGTGGAGGTATATTGTTGCAAACGCCTTCACGGGATGATTCCATCGCCATACGAGCTGGATACGTTTCGGTACGCCTGGCGCGGGACGTGCGGTCGGCTTGTGGGTCTTGAGCATACCGTTCGAGTGGATCGTCATGGAAATCGGCTGTTGGTTCGTCATATGAATGCATCGACAGCGTCTCTGCTCCACTTTCTTTGGCAGTGCTGCTGCTCGTTCCACTTGATCGCCGCCGCCGCCGCTTCCCGGATCTTGCTGTACGCCGACGGCAAAAAATATTCCGCTTGAGAGCTTGTCTCTCCGGCCAAAGTGATTTTGTAACACCTACATTATTTCGTTAATAATACCCAGTTATTATTTTTGTGGTTCAGCCGAGCTCAAAGTAGCAGCAATACAAACCTTGTCGATGAGAGTGCTTTGGCTTCGATTCTGCGCATGCCAATAATAATAATAGTAAACAAACGAAGAAAGATGTCTAGCAACCGATTGTTCTCACCGATCTCCTCAAGAAGCTCCTGCAACTCCTCGTTTGAATCGCTCATGTGCTTAAAATCCTTGTCGCGGTCGTCGTCTAGGGCGTCACTAGAATAATGACTATTCATCGAAATCTCGTCTACGGAGAAATACACGTCATGTACCAAACAAGGTCAAGCCGTAGATAAACGCACGTACCCTTCCGCATTGACTTTACCCTCAGCGAAGTGCACGTGAGCGCAGCGATTCCCGGCGAAAGATACTTCAGTTGGCGATCGTCTGGAAGTATCGCGCGCGGAGCCCCCTTTTCCCGCGCTGCGCGTTCTCTAAAATGATCTCTTCAAATTCGACGGTCAGTATTTATCGTACCTAATTGAGAATGTATTGTACTACTGAGTTATTTAAAATATCACGGAAATTTAATATTTTACGTGTAATCTTTGAAACTCTTTAAAAATGACGAAAATTATTAGGGCGCCAAAACGCGCTAAGCGCCCCTAACGTAACTTTTTATGCAAAAAGCTTAGGGTGCTCCAACCACTTTGAATTTTGGGCGATGATGGCATAAAGTTTATGCTTACCGGTACGTGTATGATCCTGGTATAATAGGCTGTCCAATTTGGACTCCAAATGCAGGCAGATGATCGCACATGCAAGATTTGCAAACTTATCTTCAACGATTTAACGACCATCACGTTGAGGTTGATGATCAATCAACCTCAGATTATCGGAGACGCCAATTGCTAATAAAACTGGTACGAGGTACTAAAATAAGAAGATACTGTAACTCTTGCAATGCAATTTCTTGCAAAGCGATTTATGCCATGCAAGTTGCATGGCATTAACCGCTTAAGAGTAGGTACTGCACAGAAGAAACCGGTACGCTAACTTACATTCTAGCTCGAAGTAACTACTTCTCAATTTCCAGTAGATTCACACTCTGAGGTATTACACAGTGGAATTCTAAATGAGTTTACGTGTGCAGCTAAGCCACCCTTTCAATGCTTTTGTTTGAGACGTTCAGTGACTTAACTTCAGTCCACGGCATGATTTTACATGATACAGTAAACATGTGTTTTTGCAAAATCTTCTTCCACAACCTCTACTGTAGAGAAACTGACAGCACTTTCAATGAAATCTTTTTTTTTACTTGTCGCTTCACGTATTAATAGTAGCACTTCATATTGAAGCGTACATTTGAAGTCTAAGAGTACTAAAACGCACATCATCTACATGTACTGTATAAAGCATGAAGATCGCTAACAATCGACTAAAGGTTATTTATTAACAGGTCTGTTAGCACAGATCCCATATTTTAATCTAACTTGCTACTGGCATTAACAAGTTTGATTAAAAAATGGGATCTGCCGGACAGAAAACAAGCATATCTTATGCTCTGTCCACGAATGCAAAAACAAATGGAGAACTCAATCTTACGATACAGCGAGCTCGTGCGTGTTTTACTAAACTGGCAATACCATCAGCGACACGACTGTATTACGGACACTCCAGAACGTCATACCGCCACGTGCTTCTTGGAAACTTCAAACTCGAAGTCGTCCAGTCGTTTCAATAACTTCGGATTCAGTTCCAGATTTACCTTCCAGCGCACACTTTCACTCATGCGGTTTCTTTTCTATATGCTGCTGGCATGTTCAGCGGTAGTAGCGGGTGAGCAAGCTGCCGCAGCCAAGGAGCTTCGACTAAACTCTTTCGTGCACCGATCATTCGACGCCCATATTCATGCCCAGCGGCTCTTGAGGGATCGTCGCTCCGTCGATGAAGAGAGAGGGCTTCCGACCGTAATTGAGAAAACCAAGACTTTGTTTTCGACGAAGGTGACCGACAAGACGCTACAGCGCTGGGCAGCCAACAAGAAGTCCCCCCAACACGCTCTGATTCGCTTGGACCTTGACAATGCAGGAAAAGACCTTTTCACAAAAGCTAAATTCGCCGACTGGGTCTCCTTTATGACAAAACGGAATCCGCAGAACGCCGAGGCGGCCATGCTGTCCGCACTGATGACACGCTATAGCGACGACGTTCTGTCAGGCATGCTTATAGCAGCAAAGAAGGCTCCTGATACGAAGACTATTGCCACTAACCTGCAAATCCAGCAGCTTCGGGGGTGGATGAAGAAGGGGAAAACCGCGGACGACGTTTTCAACCTATTTAACCTCAAGGGAAAGGCAACGAGCTTGGATGATCTCGTCAGTGACGGTCAATTCGCCCCTTGGGTCACCTACGTGACTGCTCTTAACAAAGGAGATCCCAAGAAGACAAACATGATGGTGGTAAAGACGTTGACAACTTACAACAAGAAAACACACAAGGGCGTGTACGATATGCTCAGTGCGTCCAAGAATAAGCAGCTGGCCGCAGACTTGCAAAGAGGACAGTTCGACAACTGGTTGGCTAACAATGTCCAATTCTACGATGTTAGTGCCATGGTGGGAGCGAAGGGAACTCCACGAGGTAGTCCGCAGAGACTGTTCGTGAAGGACTATGTTGCTGCGTACAACAAGAAGCACCAGCTGTAATTTTCTCTAGGAACATAGCCATGAAAATCGTAATGGGACGGTGGGTCCCTTTCCCACTAATATCGAGGCCTTATGATGTTGAGATTGATCCTGCTCAACTAACCGCTTAAGGAACATTTCAAGTTGATGGCAAGACTGCTAAGTCGAGCACATTCAACGGATGTGTCGGATAGAAATATGTAAGAGCTTTGAATTAGGCAGAGAGAGCTGAGAGAGGAGTTTAGCAAGAAGGAAAAGCGGAAGCAGCACGTGTCCTTGCTTGCCAGCTTCACAATTATGAAGCACCTCAGAATAGGAAATTATAGTGATTTATAGAGCATGTTATTAGTACAAGGGAGAGGCGAGATACATTATTCTGCGATCCGGACCGTTTCAAAAGTACGGGAAACGTCTACACGTGTGGGATTGACTCATTGAATTGGACCAAAACGGCAAATTGGTCAGTCGTGACGTAGCCGACGGACCGCCCCACAACCAGGTGTAAGGCCTGGTCTGAGTGACATTGCTACTCGGTTAATGCAGGTGCGTCCCCGATACCTCGTACCAAGTACCGGTAGCTTAGATGTACCGGCGGTAAGCGAGGCAAGACGAGAATCAGTTCCAGTCACATTTCCCATAACCGGTATTGTCAATTTTGTCCAAAACTGTCGATTCGCCAAGAAATCCACAGCTAATCGACACGACGCTATGAAGTGGTCATCCTACTTTATTAAGACCAACAACAAATAATACATGCCACGTTAGAGCATCTCGTGCTATTGTTTTTAATTTTTTTAAAATATTATTAGCTTAATTATATTATTATCTACTCATTGCATGGTACTACAGTATTATAGTACCATATTATTATTGACGATCCGAGTTCGTCAAAGATTAGAAACCGACTCATCAGAGAGTGGCTAATGACTCTTTTGAGCCTCAAAACGAAGTCACAAAACCTGAGCCCCAATTAATTTCTTGGCTCAAGTTTGTTGATGATAACAGCGACAATAACCCTGTCAGAATGAATGCACAGCACGATATTGCCGGCAAGATGCAAGCCGAGCAGCTTTTATATGGGCCACCCGGGGGAAACCATTGATGAAGTTTTCAGCCTGTACAACCTCGAAAAAAAGGAACACAACACGTAAAAGCTTTCAATGTACGCGATGGTGGCGACGACATTGACGACTCACAACCGCGAAACTAACAACAGCTATGCTCCGCAGTTTTGCAAAAAGGGCTATTCGATAATTGGCTGGGGGCGAAGGGAACGGCAATTGATACTCCACAGAGGAAGTTTGTTTTGGACTACCGTATTCCTTATGTGATTGGCGACAGTCAAATTCTTGAGGTGGTCCTTTCTGCCAGCATAAAAGAAACCTGCTTAGAAAAAAATATATTACATGTTCAAAATTATATGGGTCGCCAAGCACATAAAGCGCGACGACACGAAATTTAAATTAATTTGATTGGCTGCTGGATTTGTCGTTAATGACCGAGCGTCGCCAATCACATAAGGAATACGGTACATTAATGCTTAGCATATCCCGAACCGATTGAAGCATCTTCTCTCGGAATAGAACCTTCTTACATTTCACGTTTAAAAGGGTGGGATCGGTCCATAAAGAGGAACTCCACTTATCTGGCGGTCGCATTGTCCAATGCTCGCTTCTGAATCGATCCAGGGTCGTCCGGATTCATAGGGAATGACCAGCACCCGCGCATACAACCAATTTGACAATCGAGCTTGAGCTTCATGAAATACGTAGAATGTTTCTGACTCAGCGTCAATGTGCACCAGTCCAAAGTGGGAACGTAGCTGCTCGTCAGCGGCCCAAGCGTTCCCTTCAGAGCCTCCTACAAAGACACTGTCGGTGTTAGTAAACGATGCTATCACTGATGCTTACTTTCTGAATTTCATTGAACTGTCTACCGATGACCACGAGGTGTAGCCCAGCAAGACGAAGCTCTCCGTTTTTCTTGGTCTGGAACGAATTAATATTTGCAGAGGTAACGCAGCAGCTCCTGTAATGCAACCACCACGAGTAACACCAGCATAGTAGTTGGGTTCTGACAGCCAATACTCTCTTCATGAATACTTCTCGAGCACGAACCATTTATCATCGGTAGCCAGATTTATTAACCCAATGGTCGAGGCGTCGGTGGTAGAGTCCACCTTGCAGCTGTAGATTTCGAGATTCGGTCCGCGTATCTCGCAGGGGCTTAAATGGTTCTTTTTCTCCATTCTGCACTTTTCTCTTCTTGTCTAATGGCACTATTCGTGGCGAAGGGCAAACTGTTTGATGATTACAGACTCGAGAGGTTTCGATTAAAAACAATGTGGATTGGTGCTCCGAAAAGATGTGGTCGCAGATCTGAGAGACGTGCAGGGACCGTGAAGTGTCACGACTGGGTAGACAGGGTCTATTCGACTATTTGTGTTTACTTGCTCAAACATTTAAATTTAAAATCGCTTAGCATTGGCATTACTTATCATTATTTATAGCAAATGAAAAGAGCTACAACATGTGCTTTCGGTTTTGATTACCGTATTTAAGCATCATTATCAAATGTGACAAGCCGAATGGAGCCCGCAAGCGGAGCTCTTTATGCAACTTTAAGCCGAGCAGCAGCATGAGCGCCTCGCTTCGCTCGACGGGTAGGTTTCACATTCGGAAATCAAAGCTAAATGTGTTTGAAGGAGACGAAAATAATAGGTTTTTTACCCTCGTCATTTTCTTTTTTTAAAAAGCTGCTCTGTAATAGCCATCGACCCCTCTCTTTGAGCATGCCGCGGTCGGTATGGTACTGATTAGGCTCAAAAAGCAGTATATATGTTGCTGTACTTCGGTAGACTCGTTCGCATCTACTGACCTTCAAATACTACCGAGGACCGGATTATTTCACTAATTATTATTTTTCTTTCTTTTAATAACTCAAGCATATAGTAGTTAGACCGCCTTTAGTTTATTTATCTGCCTTAACCCTTTCGTAATCGCAAATCTTGGCGACTATGCTAAACGTTTGTAAAACGCGGCAAAATGCCGCGTTTTGAGGTGGGGATGCGCACTCCGTTCAAAACAGACTGTTTCAAAACACGATAGATTGCTTATAGAACGTGGCATTTTGCCGCGTTTTGCAGCCACAGCAGCCGCGTCGCTCCACCAATTGGCTGAGCCCGGCCAATCCGAGCGGTCAAAAATTGCAAGTTCCTAACGTTTAATTCCCATCTCATGCGTTTTCGCACCATTGATATCCGATATGTGATTTGTACGAGATCCGCGAGCCGAGTATCTATCTTGGCCTCAGTATACATCGTTCTGATCGAGCCGTCGAACAGTCTGCTCTCGGAGCCAGTGATAGCCAGTTGCAGCTGAGACTCATCCCATCACAGAAATCTTTATTCATCAAAATAACATGCAAATAAGATGCCGGATTAGGTTGCAAACAAAACGTTTTTTCATTTCAATAAAAAATACTATTATAAGAGATACAAGAGCCGTTCATTTCCTGATTTGACGCCTTGAGCCCATGCCGCGAAAACGCGCGCTCGCAGAAGATCAACCTGCAAGAAAGCAGCGGCTTCGGTGGGGCCAAGCCCTCAGCGACGACGCTACCAAATTGTCATCGACTCTGGACTTTAACGGTGTGTGGAGAGAGCTAAAGGCAGCTGGATGGACGTCCAAGCTTCCAAGTGGCCTCGACGATCGATACCGGTATGTCCTCCCCGGTTGTACTGGTAGCGGAAGAGCTGGCGTTGATTACCGGCTTGGGGAAGAAGAAGTATTGTGGCACTTCGTACAACATTGTGAGTAATACCTACTATCCAGCGTTTACAACAATGCTGTTGCCTCAAACCATATAACTACCGTTGTTGTAGGTAGCCCTAGTGTCGTACAAGATGTCGGCGGACACGAACATGCAGATGATCATGCTTCTCACACTGCTCAAGTGACTGCATTCAATGCCGACCACGACGAATGGTGCAGAGATGGAGCTGGAGTAGCGGCTGTAGCTGACAATGCACAGGACTTAGTCGCACGCTCGGAACGCAACAACATTAGTGGTGCATCCCTCACTCGTGGTATGAGTATGACTAGTAACTCTGCAGAGTACGCTGGGTTGATATGTGTACTCAAAATATTTTATCTGTAGCTCCAAGAGACCACGCCCGTCGTGCCGATGGTGCTTATAGTGACCGTGGTAAGTCCACAACAAGCGGCCGGAAGGAATTCCAAACTAGAGGTGGTCTTCGAGCGCGCCGGGGGTTGCGCGGCTGCGAAGAGCGAGTAGCCATACAAGATGGTGGCGTTGGTGTGAATGACGATGGCGGTGGTGCTGACGGTGTACAGTCCGGAGCTTCTCGTGACCTCAACCAAGCCGTTACTACCATGCAGTACTCTGTCGCTGAACTATCTGCTCCTGGAGCTGGTGTTGGCCACCGCCAAGCTGCAGATCACGATGGTTGTGGCGTGGTAAGGTGTGGTGTGGATGTGGAAGCAAGCTGTGGTGAAGGCAATGGTGGCGTTGCAGTCACAGAAGGTTGTGGTGGACGTGGGCAGATTGCCACTCCACAAAGACGACAGCCTGGCAGCGCTGATGCTGTGGACATTGTGAGTAGCCAAGACGGTGGATCGGGCAGTGGAGGTGGCAAACGGCGACGATCCCCTGCGCGTCTTGCCCGCCTAAGCCGTGTAGCTGATGAATCAAGTCGGCAGGATCTCGGCCGCATCAATCAAAGTATCGCGACTCCGGAAGAAGGCACCAACACCTCAAGAACCAGCACTTCCCGCAGTCGTACCCTAGGTACACCTACGGTTGAGCAGCTTTATGTCAAGAAATTGGTGGCCTTTTCGCCGTCGAAAGAGCCGTGGATGACAGATAAGGTATACAGATGTGTAGGAACGGCCTACATCGTTGGTCGAGTATGCCGTCGTATCAAGAAACCAAAAAATGGAGCTATTCTCCAATTGATGTGGCTTGATAGTCAGTTTCAAAACGCGGTGGAAGCCGTCACT